ATATATATATACACACACATACAAAAGCACACATAGGTTTGTTAAGTTAGTTTCAGCACATGCTTTGGAAGGACTAGCACACATAACTGCTTGAGGAATTAGCTGGTTTAGCTTCATGATTTGCGGTTGTCATCTTTATGCGTTCCTTTGTGTGCAAAATGAAACTTTTCTATTCACCTTTTTATTGTGCACTCATGCACAATATAGCGAGATGTTGTGCAGCTTATTGGGGAGTGGCTACCCCGGTGCCGTGATACATGCTGAAGATGCTGCGGCCGCGCGCGGTTGCCTTTGATCCATACATAGAACCATTCATATATACACAGCTACAAGCTATCATAGGCAGACAGACACCGTAACCGACAGACTCTCTCTGGCTCTCTCTCTTGCATCTTTGGAAACTGAACATAGATGTATCAAGCAGGACGTATATGCACAGTGGTCATAAACTGTGTTTATGATTCTATATACATGTTTAGATTCACTGTGTATGACAAAATGTGTCTATGCATCTGTATATATGTATATGCAGACATATACTTTCACTTCGGTCGCCGCAAGAGGTCTCTCTCACGATGCGTGGGCGGCGATGCGCCGGCATTTCGAGAATGCATGCCATGATGTTCATGACACCCCAGGACTCAACAAATTTAGGATTAAAAGCGGCTCAGGGAGTACTGTCTAGGTAAGTCACATAATAGTACGAAAGTAACATAACGAAGATGGTCTGCAAACGAAATAGAACAAGGGATATCCAGCAGCTACACTGTCCGGCATGACCGCCCCTTCGGAAGCGACAGTGCAGAACTGCCAAAAAAGCAATGTGCTCAGCTCCCCGGCCTAATCAGCCGAGCGCAGAAAAAGCTGCAGGCTGTCGGCGCTCGAAAATTAAATACAATGCAAGCTGCTGGTCCGTAGCTTTCTGTATAAGAAAGGAAAAACACTATCAGGAAAATAATAAAGCCCAATATCACAACAGGGTGGGAAAAGGTATAACCCTGAGGACAAAGGTATCATATTCATACGAGGCTTGTGGACCGCTGTGGGGTACGTTCTCAGCAGATGGCACTTGCTTATGCCTAAGGCATGCTGGCTCTGCTTCGCTCGTGCAGACATATACATATACAGATACATACATCTGAGCACGTCGCACAACCAGACTTCGGCAGAAGATGCTGCAGGCCCCACGTGTCCACATGCTTGAGTTTTTTGTTTAAATTAGAGCTTCGTAAACCTCGATGTGTAGCTTATCCTTCCATGTTATACATATGTATGTATCGCTGACTTGTTGCAACCGCTCGGCCACTGAAAACACTTGTCATAAACCGACAGCATTGCACACTATGTTTCGATCCTCGGACTGCTTTACATGTTTATTTATGTATGTATGTATATGTATCTATTTAACGATGGATGGATGTGTGAATGTACAGATGTTTGTATGCACGCATGGATGTGTGTGTATGCATGTATATACATGGTATGTATATATATATA